ATTGGGAAAAAGTTGCAGGAAAGGTTGGAAGTGGAGTTTTCTATAAGGAGGTCTCTATCAATCTTAGCTTATCGCAATGGTAGGAGTTCTCACAGGACACTGTCCAATATTCATACATGCTGAAAATCTTCTCAGACGCAAGTTGTTTAAGTTGTAATGATGAGGATGTGATGGAAACAAAAAGACATTTTTTTCCTCCATTGACCACCCTTTGCAAGACTGAGTTAAATTATTACCGCTGTTCTATCTTTGGCGAACCGGTATACATAGCAGAATCCCGTTCCGACGACGATCTACGGTCTACGTAACCGGAACGAATCCACATTTTTCATTCTGTCGAGGACTCTCAACTCGACAGAATATAGCCGAAACTGGCATAAGCCGTCTCAACAAAGTCTCAAAGCGATCTATCATATAGGAGTTTTTAGGTAAAACAAATGGCCGGCGTTTAAAGCTGTCCAAGTGAAGTACCTGTTATCAACTTTTTATGCTAATCTAATCAAACTTTGAGTCTCAGCATCCAGCTCGCATGTTCTTCATTCAGCTGATACTATTTTTAAGATTTTTGGAAGTGAAAGCTTAATGGTAAAGGCCCTATGTTGACTCCTACAAGACTTGCTGGTCCTAAGAGTCCTGTCATAAAAGACTTAAAGCTCTGAATTATAGTCGCTTAGTTTACAACTATCTTGTGTGTAGAAGACATCTCTCCTTATTCTCAAAATGCGTAATGTAATGATATCTATCCACAATGACAAAATAATTTTCCATCTGCCTGTTTTCGTTTCGGGGGCACACCTCTTCAAATTTTCTCTCTACTAGCAATCTTAGACACGTGTATCGAATTAACTAAACAGTTCCCCATACAGACAAACATAAATCAAAACAATTAATAATAAATCATACTTCACCTTTACAAACTTAGAATATGTATGTATGTGTAGATGTATGCCAGTAACTGTACAAAATTTCAAAAAGGTCTATTTGCATAGTGGCTAATATAATAAAGTTGGCCAACACGTGCGGGTAAAAACGATTATTTTCTCCTTTACTAGCGCCTGCCTATATTCTATATGTACAAGGGTGGTCAGAAAAATACTTAGCCTACAAAAGAAAAACCAAAACATTGGATAAGCGACAATTTATTTCGCAAAGAGTAACCTTCCACTCTATTGTTACTGTAAAAGCATAAGTCATTTCCTAAGCAGTTTTGCTTTAGAGGGATAGTCCTGAACGCCTTCCAGGGATACTCATTTCAGCCATGCCGACTACCTCGTAAACAGACTCTTAATAGTGATTATTATGGTCCTAGTTCGGTTACATCATAAAAAGGGAGTTTCCACAATTTGCGCCAACTACCATGGGATAACTCTTTTCAATATCTCATATAAGATTCTATCGAGCGTATTGCGTAAAAGACTGAAACCCACTGTCAACAAACTGACTGGACTTTATCAGTGTAGCTTTAGACCTATAAAATCTACAATCGATCAGATTTTCGCCATGCGCCAAACCTTGAAAGATACTCTAGAGATCAAGGTCGACACACACCACCTTTTTGTCGATTTTAAAGCTGCCTTCGCCCACCATTCCCGTCCTTCTATTATATATGGCGCAGAAGTATGAACGATGACAAGATCTGATGAGCTGGCGTTACTAGTTTTCGAGTGAAAGATTTATGGTGCTTGACAACGGTGAATACCGCAGTCGATCGAACGATAAGCTGTACGAGATATACGACGACATTGGCTTAGTTCAGTGAATAAAAAGACAGCTGCTACGCTGGCTAGAACATGTCGCCCGATTGGATGAAAAGTTCTAGCTCTGAGACTACTCCACTCAATACCTGCTGAGAGAAGTAGAGGATAGGAAGATCTCCACTTCGCTGGAAAGGCCAGGACCTGACTACACTTGGAATCTCCAATTGGCGTCAAACAGTGAAAAGGAAGAATGACTGGCGCGCTGTTGTAAACTCGGCTACAACCGCGTAAGCGGTAACTACGCCAATAAAGAAGAAGAAGGTAGAAAGGAAAATGCGAGTAAGACAAGATTAACTTAGTGCATTTAATTCTATTTATCTTTGGCTTGCCTCTGCAAACCAGCCGTGGTTTGGTAGTATTTTACAGAACATCCTAATGTCTGGGCATTGCATTTGGGAGATGTTCGCTGATTTATGTAGGTCGATAGAAAGCCTTACTCACTAAGAGAACGGGTGATCTAAGTAGAGGTAGTTTTTTCAATAAACGGATCACGTGTGAGTCATGTCAAACTGGCATGCTATTTTTGTTCAATATTGTTTGGCAATTTGTCAAAGAAAGACTTACGCCTGAACAACGTTCGCCCTATGGGCTTTTGAGAAAATCCAAGAAGATCCGAGGTTTTCGAGCCAAATTTTATGCAACTTTGAGGTTCCTTTTGCAGCTCAAAGGATATGTAATAAAGCAAAATTTCCGCATTGGAGAGAAAGAGCAACCTGAAGAGCTTCAAGAGCTGAATCCAAAACAAAAATCAAACAAACGGTCTGGTGTAGTTTGTGAGCCGGTGGAATCATCGATCTACATTTCTTTAGAAATGATGTCGGTGAGAACGAAACCGGCAATAGCGACCGTTATGGCACCTTGATAACCTACTAGTAGATGCCTGAAATTGGACCTCGTGATGTGCGCGAGATTTGGTTTCAACAAGATGGCACCACTTTTCACATAACACATCTATCAGTGGATTTATTGAGAGAACATTTCGGTGAGCAGAAAATTTGACGATATCACACGATTAGACTTTTCATTGTAGGGATATGTAAAGTTTGAAGTCTATGTGGGCAATCCCGCTTCGATTCAGGTCTTGGAGCAAAACGTCATGTGTGTCATTCGCCAGTTACCAGTCGAAATGCCCGAACGAGTCATCGAAAATTTGACTCAACGGATGTACCATCTGAGACGAAGCCGTGGCCTACATTTGGAAGAGATAATCTTCAAAAAATAAATGCAAAAGAATGTTCTTTCGAAGGATAATAAATTCACAGTCATTTCGAGTACTTACAACTTACACTGCAGATATTTGCTGACATTTTTCTATTGCCTTTGAATGTTAAATCTACATTAAATGCAGATAATTAGTGAGCTCAACGCTTACGACTGTGTGGTGTGTAAACATAGCGTTATACACACACTATTTACTATTGTTAGTACACTCGTCGCGCTCGTTTACTTTTCCGTGTCACTACCGCCCACAACAGGTTTCCCTTACGGACAAACACGGACTACACGCATACATGCATATATAATATGTGCATGTGTACATGTGTACACTGTGCTACGCAACTTTAACGACTACTGTCATTTCCGTCGCTTGCTAAGCTTCCTTTGAAGTGTAAATAACACCGCACACGCATACTTATGGCCACGCAAACACTGGATGAAAGCAATGCGCAAGAATTGGAATAAACCATTCTTTTAAAGGGCGCAAACAAAGCGAAATAAAAAAGTAAACAAACCATTAAAATATGAAGTATACGCTTTGCTTTACGTTGGGAATATAGTGTAAGGGAGGCTATGGAGCACCCACAGTGCCATATATATCTATATACATGTACATATGTGTATATACGATTGACGCTGACAGTTGGTCAACGCCAGCATTAACGACGTCATTGTCCATTGTGAAGTAAGATTCTCGATTGTTGTCGCTGTCGTCTCTTGCAGTATTTCGTCGTTGGGCGTTGACTCTTTTATCAGCTGCGCAACAGCAATTTCAGAAACATTAACAGTAGTGAGAAACTTGGAAAAAATATAACATCAGCAATTATGCCAGCAAGAGCAGAACAATAACAGTATTTTAAAGGCGCTGCGTGTTGCCAGAGAGTTATGGGTTACAAAGATATTAGAAAATGATGAAAAATAAACCGCAAAAATATAAAGGATAGGTAGATCTTTTTTCTCTCATTTATAAAAAATATATTCATTCAAATAAAAAATTTAAAAGATTTTCGGAAAATATTTATATGGCAACTATAACACACAGACTCACTCTCGCTCATAGCACAATGCGTAACAGTATTATTTAAAATCGACGCAATACTCTTTAGTGCAAACGCATAACAGCTAATGCTCTTAATTTCTAATGCTAAGAGAGCTACCTAGCACTAATAAAATAAGCCAGAATTGGGTGCACAAAAAGAAAACATACAGTTTCACCTAGTTTTCAATATGAAAAACGTATGTATATACATATGTACATACATACATATACGTTTGCAATAAAAACAGAAGCAAAAGCGGTGGCTAAGGACAACAGCAAGTGAATATGTCTAAAACTAGTGAGACGCCCAAAAATAGACACATGTTCATGAACTCGAGCTGTGGTTTAGTTTTTTGATTTAAGTTCATTTAAAAAAAATATAAAAGAGAAATATATGCTATAAAAACAGGTTAAAAAAATTCAAATATTTTAAATATAAAYAAAATATTCAAAAATAAATAAAATAAAATAATTTAAAAAAATATCAAAAAAAAATTWAAAAAAAATATTTATTGTTTATGCGCATTTTATTTTTTATTAATAAAGTAAATAACATATAGTATATATTTGCATATGTAGTGATATTGCTTCTATATAATTTGTTAATTGATTTATTTTTAAATTTGTATAAGCAAAAATTTAACTTATTAACATTTTTGTGTTAAAAACTTTACAAGTCGAAACATGTTTACTCATGAAAAATAACGTTCATTGTTTCAGATTATAAAGTTTCTTACATAGTATAGCGATAAGTAAGCATTTTTATTAGAATTTAACTCATTTGTAAGCTTCTTATTGGGTGTTTATGCCAAATTAACAACAACAAAATTATATTATAAATCAAACTTGCACAAAATAGCTGCTATTTATGTAAATATTTATATGCATTTATACATATGTATATATTACATATCTGTAACTATATATTTTCTTTAATTATATTGTTCTCCGCTTTTTATATAAAATTATAATTAAATTGCACTCACCTTAAAAGGCTTTTTGTTGTCTGTATCCATTTTTAACTTAATTTTTTAAGCGCTCAAATATATTTCTCAGCTTATGCTTGACAAAAAGCACTTTTTAAAGTTTTTCACACCTTTTTCTAATTGTTTTAATACACCTTCTTACACTTAGGCCACTCCACTTGCTTTAATTGTTATATTTTCAATGCAAAACCGTTTGTTTATGCCTACACTTGAGTTTTGTTTTTGTTATGCTGCTAATTTGCGCTCTTGCAATCAAATATTGTTGCTGCTGCTCTGTCTTACATACAAAAGTGGAGCACACGTTGTTCGCACACAAATGTACGCGAAGCGTCTCGTCAGCGCCCAAATGTTTCCAAGTATAGAATACAACAATAAACAAAAGCGATAACAGCGAGTCACCAGTCAGTTGTTTATAATTTACCACAAGAAATTAATAACAATAATAATGAAACAATTAATCTCGAAGCAATGCTGGCAGCACGAAATTCCCGCACAACTACCCTCCAGTGTCTACCAAACTGCGCGTATTTAGCAAAACACAAAGAAAATCACGACAATATTTATTTTGCTGATTTAAATTTTTTTTTTTTGCTGATTCAAAAATATTTTTGCTTGATAACTAGCTATTTAAGTATGTATGCTTGTGTGCTATAATTTGAAAGTAGCAGTATGTACATTTGGATTTTATGCACTTAAGTCACTTGGCAGCGAACGCACTGCAACCAGCAGCCACAGCTGAGTTTGCCAGCGCCCTTTGTTTTGTATACATATGTTTTTTCTGCTTTATTTTCCTTTTTTTATTTGACGTTTTCGTTTGTTTTATTTCGTTGAATTGACGTTTTGCGCGCACCTATATTAAACTGTATACACACTGCTTGTAAGCACCGCCGGCGAATGACAGCGCTGCCACTGCTGATATGCCGTTTTATATACGCTGCTCGTCTCGGTCGTGCTGGCCTGGCACATTCGTGATGCTGCTTACTTACACACGCTCCACGGCTCCACGTTCACGTTGGCGTTATTTGGCCCAGCAGACAGCAAAGCGCCAACGAGAATGAAATGTACGAAAAAGAGTGCGTGCCATGCAACTGCTACGAAGTTGCATGCTGACTTTGTTGCGTTTGTTAGCACGTGTGTGCTGGTTTGCAGAGCATTTTAGTTACGTCCTCTCTTTGCGCTAAACTCCTCTCTTACTTGGCCACATTACGTTACGCTGCGCTCTTTTCGCTGCAAATGTAGCGCCGCCATCTGCACAATGCTGCCTTCCAATAGGGCCACTACATTTTTTCTATGTGAACTTTACGTTTGTGCTACAATTACGTAGCTCAACGTCATCGCGCTCTTAATTGGTGCTCCTTGTTGCTGAGTGTATAGTGTTGGTCATGTCGTCCTTATGTCGTTCTGTTGGTTTGTTAGACTGGCGTTTCCTTCGTTCATTGTCACATCCGCTCTAGTCGCAGCTTCTACATGTACGTATGTATGCATGCATTAGGGTGTATCATACTATATTTAGGTATGACAATCAAATTTAAGTTACTTAATAAGAAAAAGAGATATTTTCTGATTGTATTCATCTGTTAAAACAAGAAGAAGAAGTGGCTGAGTGTATACACAATGACTATGGAGAGTCGATTCACCGGCGTTCGCTGCAAATTGGACTGTCATATGGAACGACTCGGAGCATTTTACGTCCAGATCTTAAATTGAGAGCTTACGAAATACAGCTTGTGGAAAAACTAAAGTTGTTTGACGTTCCCAAACGACATCGCTTTGCTTAATGGGTTCTTGAAATGTTCCAAGAAGATCCGACGTTTTGTGCAGCGAAGAGGTCCGGTTCTGGCTTAATAGGTATACATACTTATGTATATTTAGTAACATTGCCTTGGAAAATAATAAAGTTCTTTTAAAATATATTGTCAAGTAAAATGGTCTGCCATCTAAGAACTTAACTTTGATATTCCGTCTGTATGGCAGCTACAATACTTATATGGTAGTGACCGGATATCGGCGGTTCCGACAAATAACCTGCTTCTTGGATTGAATAGGAAGGCGTGAAAATTTTCAAAGTGATATCTCAAAGACTACGCGACCACACGAACTGTCATATGTATGTCTCGAAAACAGAGGGACCAGTTCACACATGTACAGACTATCAGACGAACAGACCGACATGGCTTAGTCGACTGAGCTCCTGTGATAACTCATGTGTCTCCGACGTTTTCTTCTGATTTCCAAACTTCGTGATAAACTATATTAACCTTGTTCAGAGTAAAAAAAAACATTTTTCTTTGTCCTTTATAAGGAAAACGGAAAGTTACGAACAGTCACCTAACAATTATAAGAAGTACTCATTTTAGCGTACTTACTCGTACATACTTTTCATCACCTTCACATGTTTGACTTCTTTACTTTAAAAAGAGGGACCTCAAAGTGACACACCCTGATGTTCATCCATTGTCAGTGCTGTCGGCCCGTGTCTAATACACTTACACCACAACTATTGTTGTTTTCCATTTACGCTTATGCCATGTCTGCTTTTGTTGTGCATCGGATTTAGATTTTGATATGTACACACATACAGACATAACTCTAAATAAATAGAGATGAGAAATTTCGGTGTGGTTGGTGGCTGCATTCTGTTTTCGTCAACTAGCATTGTTGGGTGATGGCATGATAGAAGGTGATGATTTTACGAGTTACCAGATGTATTAGATTTACTGAATGATTTTTTAATTGTATCAAAATTGTTTAGTTTATTCACAAATTTTGGAATTCTACTAATTAGCTCACTTATCAAACTGAAATAGAAAAAACATATTAAAAATTTAAATCGTAAAATGACTTCAAGATTTATTATTTTTTATATTAATATGCAATTTATATTTATCATAGTTCGAGTCATCTGGTTTTGGTACAATAAGCATTGTTTTCTTTAATAACTTGTTGTCATTTTAAAGGTTATGTCACTTACCTCGCCACTTTTGTCTCTATCAGAGAGAGTATATTTTTATAATCTGCTCTTGTGGCAATTTATTCACTAGACAAGAACACGTCGTAATCACTTGCTGCCAAATTTGGTCAATAAGTATAAGACGTATGCATTGGAACCTCTCAACCAAGCTCCCTTAGCAAGCTTAGCTTGGCATTGTTCTAATGAACAAAATTCCTCTCCTATTGGTCAATCCTGAGCGCTTCCGGGCGATAGCTTTCTTCAGACGGTCTAATTATTGACTGTATCGATCCGAGTTGAAAATTTTTCCTCAAAACAGTCCCGACCTGTCAATTTTGATTTAACCAGCGAATACGCCAGCTCACTGTGATTCGACAATGACTGTTTACGTTTGACGTTGTCGTAGGTGACTCACTTTTCATCACCCGTAAACACCCGCTTCAGAAATGGATCGATTCTGTTGTGATCCAGCATCAATTCGCTGATCGATGATGTTGTTATCATCGGCCTCAACAACCGCGCCATTGGCTTTGATCTCTCCACACTGGATAGGAAATCGAGTCTAGTTGTGAAGGAGGATAGGACAAAATATCTCCTGTCAAACAGTCATCACACTTGCGACTTCGCTCCCATGTCAATGTTAACAGTCATAACTTCGAAGTCGTAAATAACAACGTCAGGCTAAAAATCCAACGCAGAATAACTCTTGTCAACAGCTTCTACTTCGGACTGAGTAGGCAATTGAGAAGTAAAGTCCTCCCTCAATGAACAAAGACCAAAATTCTATAAGTCACTCATCATTCCCGTCCTGTTGTATGGTGCAGAGGCATGGACAACGACAACAGAATAAAGAGACAGCGGCTACGTTGGCTAGGTCATCTCGACCAAATGGATGGAAACACTCGAGCTCTGAGAGTATTCGACGGTGGGAGACCGTGGAAGAGGAAGACCTCCACTCCGTTGGAAAGACCAGGTGGGAAAGGAACTAGCTGTCTCCAATTGGCAGTGAAAGGGAAGAACGACTGACGCGCTGTTGTAAACTCGGCTATAACCGTCTACGCCAATAAAGTAGAAGAAGAAACATCACTGCTGGCCACCTATTGGTTAAATCACCTGTTAATTATCCAACAACGATAACAGATATTTCCGATAAAGTTTCGGCGAGTTTCTTAAGGCCTTATGAGGTGATGCTAATAGTAGCCGTGAATCGGTAAGAAAAAAAAATTTATATAATTATAATTCAAAACATCTGGCAACTTCAAAAACCCCGAGAATGGGCTCATGCCTCCTTCTCAATGTGGAGATTTGCAGTCAGCGTGTGTATATGTATGTGTATATTGCTAAAATGTTAACTTCATTGAACCCGATGTCTATCTGACTGTCTGCCAGCTATGAAAATAGCAGCACGAGCCATAAAAAGCAGCAGCCACTAAAAAAACAACCGCCAAAGATGGCGGCGGCAGCGGCAAAGGCGTAAAAACTCAAATACCGACAAACAAAAATAACAACATACAAATTAAAAATACCAATAAGTACCAAACCCGAACACCAGACCCCGTGACAGCAGCGCCATTTCAGCTATAGTATACTTATAGGCGCACACAGCCAGCTACCGTTACAATTACGTGAACAAAATGGATTAACAACAATACAAAAGCCAACAAACAACAGTTAACTAGAAGAGTAATGGCAATAAAAATAACAACAACACACCAACGCATAGAGCTCGGCAAGGCAGACACAAAAACAAAACCAACGGACACAGATACTATACATTGAGATGTATGTAAATTATGTGTGAGCGAATGTGCACAGCGCGACAGGGCATTTTCACAACGTTGGCAATAAAAATCAATGCGTTAAACCACAATGGCTATGAGCGACCGACCAGCCCAGGCTGCGCCAATAAGGCTACAGACAGCGTTATCAATAGCAGTAGGTAAGCGTGAGTACAGGCATAGGGAGGGAGGCGACTGGCGCATAGAAAAAAGCACGGCTGGTGTGGGTGCTGCAGGCGTTTAATAGGTGCAATCGTAGGTCACAGCGAGCCCATAGGCATATGCTTAAATTAATAACTTTTCGCCATGAGTACTGCTACAACAATTGGTGTCCTTCCTAGAATTGCCCTAGATAACTGTAGCTTTCTAAAAGTGCTGCGAATATAGTAACCTGAACCTCACCTCTAGAAATGGACGTCTTCTTCTAGACAATAGTACTGGTTTCAGTGAGCATGGCCTCCTACAGGCCATTGACTTCGAGAAATCCCGTCAACTTTGCCGATTGAAGGGTTATATACACTTTTGAAAATCAAGCCAACGAATTTTTTGCGTGTACAACGAAATTTTCCATTACGGACAGTCCCTATAACCGGACGCTTCCCATACATAGGTTGTCTTTTATATATCTGAATTTTTCAACCCTAGTGTTGTAGTCTGGAACCTGACTAATTTATGGTAGGGTTTGACATTTTTTATATTCCGCATCCTCAGAACGTTTTGACGTACGAGCGCTACTTGTGTTATTTACAGTAACTTAAAAAATTCTTCTCGACCAAAATAGGAATTAAATCACGAACATTTTCGCGAGATTATTCTACTTCCAATGTGGATTTACTATTAAAGTGGATAGATGAATAGATGAACTTAATTAAATTTTTGACGATGAAGCTCCATCAAAGACCAGTGTTAATCGATGGTATGGTGTATTCAATCGAGGTCGTAGATTACTTCAAAACGAATTTCAGGTAAGGATATTGCAAGATCGTCATGTGAGCTATCCTGATATTGAAACAACTATAGGCATTAATGGGACTAGCAGACATTCAATATTCATTTACTTTAGCTCGCCTTCAAACGGACGTTCTTTGGCTACCCAGAGGATACTTGATCTAAGACCGGTCCGTGAGCTGATTGCGCCATAAATAAAAGAAACGTTTCTGGTCACTTCAAAATGAATGACGCTCAGAGAACTTTCCTCACTTACGTGAACTCCTAAACATGACTCAATCCCTCCTTTAAGCTGGCGTTAATCAATATCAAAAGATCCGTCAGGATCAGGAACATCTTCGAGCCGATCGATAAAAATCG